CCCCCGTGGGTGAGAAGGAAGGGAACGTTTATCTGTTGCTTCTGATCGCATGTTCTAGGTAATTCTCTCTACCTGCTAGGCCTCAGGTTTGCCACCTGTAGGACAATGTCATGTGTCTCTTTAATCATAGGTAAGGATTAGACTGAATCAGACAGCAGCATCCTGGAAAAGGCGGGCAAGAAAGGCTACGTTAGTTAGGATGAGCCAGGTTATGACACAGCAATAAACAATCTCAGGATCTGGTGGCTTAAAGCAGCGATTTTCAACCTGTGGTCCGTGGCACACTGGTGTGCCACAAGAATTTTTAAGACATGCAATCAGTACCTGATTATGCAGTCAGGGGCACTGACTTCTTTCCCCTTAGATTGTCAAATTAAAAAGTGACAACAGCCAACACAACAATAGCCATCCGGTGTGAATGAATCAAAGTGATGCCTATTTTTTGGTCAGACTGGCAAAAAATTATAATATATTAAAAAAGAATTTTAGTAATTAGTTTATGTGTTCCATGAGATGAAAAAGGTTGAAAATCGCTGACTTAAGGCAACCAGGCTTTAGTTCTTACTCACGTTACACGTGTTCTGCAGCCCGGCTGGGGCTGAGCTCCCCCTTGTTACCCGGGGACCCGAGCCGACAGAGGCTCCATCTCGACACGTGCTCTGGTTACCATGTCAGGAAGAAGGGGATGTGGCACATTGTGCACTGTCTCTTAAAGTTTCCACGTAGAAGTGACACATGTCACTTCCACTCACATTTCATCAGTCAAAGCAAGACACCGGCGGCTCCTAATATCAAGGGGCAAGGCAAGACAAGGCAATCCTACCGTGTGCCCGGGACAACTGGGCATACTTAATGACCAACACAGAGCTCCTCCTCTTAGGCACTGCCTGCCCAGGCCAGTCGGGGTTGGGGGTGTTTGTGGCCTGAAAGGACACCTGGTTAAGCCCCACATGGGAGAGAGGTGCTGGGCTGTTCACATTCAACTGGAATTAACTCAGAAGGTTTCAAAGAGCTGAGGCTCAATTCTCTTTTCAAAGGAGGGAGAACAGGTCTGGCACAGAGAATCGGAGAGGCCATATCCAGGGCTCTTTGGTCTGGTGTAGATGGAGTGCTTCATGCACTGTGTGGGTGTTGAGGAAATGGTGTGATTGCATCCTGCAGGGGTAGGTGGGGTGTCTCTGGAAGCCCACCCAGGCAGCTGAGAGCCCAGCAGGAGCGTTTCCACGAAGTGCCAATGGCCTTGCATCTGATATCTTGAGTGCTAACTGCTTGGCTGTCTCCCCAGATATTTCTCTGAGGCAGAGACCATTTCTCTGGGGCAGGGGTGACCCCCACTCAGTCTGAAGACCCTCCCTTTGTATAGTCAATACACAATATCTCTGTGTTGAATTTGTAAGGAGAGAGGCTGGGGAAATCAGTCCCACTCTGGTAAGAAAAGGGCAAGAATCTTGATACATTCAAAGAGAAAGACAAAGCTTGGTGGGCTCCATTTCTGCCCCAGGGAGGGTCCTAGGACATCCCATTCTCATAGCTTGTGCTGACGTGGACCAGTCCAGTCTGATATCCCAGTACCTCCCCACCCTTACTTTCCTGAAATGTCATCCCCAAGAACAGCACCAGGAGCAGGGCGGGCAGACGGGGCGGATGCCACAGCAGCTCTGCGCCATTAATCACTCTGAAATTTGCGTCGGGTGCAGCTCTTCCCTGGTGGCCTCCTAAGTCAACAGCTTAATTATGGTGACTGTACAGGTAGAGAAAAGCAGCTCAGTCCGCCCCACACTGCGGCTGAGACCCAGGGGCTCAGAGAGAGGGCGACGCGAGGGCCAGCCCTCTAAGGAGCCCCCTTCTTACCAGAGTGCCCCCTTCCTGGGACTTCAGCTCTGGGCCCGAGTGGAAGCCCGCGTCCTGGGAGAGACAGTCCGCCCAAGCGCGGCCCTCACCTGGATCATACGGTCCTAGGTCCTGGAACTGCGTGGCTGTTCCTGCTCGTGTTCCAGCCCCTTCTGCAGCCCAGCTTCAGAAAAAACAGAGCATTCAAAAGGTGCTGGACAGATCATCAGCATCCCTGTCCTTGTCATCAGTACCATTACAGTCCTCCAGCTCCTCCAAGCAGAACACTGTGCCAGGCGCAGGGGGCGAGGGGCGCTGGGGTGGTCAGCAGCCTCTGCGCCCCCCAGAAATGTATAACACGATTTCAGAGACAGGAACCGCCCGTGCAGGAGCTAGCGTCGCACAGTAGCAAACACTGTACACGGCGTGAGGCTGCGGGACCTGAGAGTGAGCACAGCAGGGAAGGTTTCCCGGACGAGGGCATTACGCTGGGTGGGGAGGGACCTGAGAAGCAGAGCTGTATTTTGGCCCCCAGCTCAGAACTCCCGCAGCTCCTTTGCCCCGCAGGCTGGCCCCTGGACACGCCTGGCATTCCTGCCTCTTGCCTTTGCTCACAAGGTTCCCCCTCTCAGGCAGGCCTTTCCCCCACCTCTCTGCCTGGCCCAAACCAACCCACCTTTGATAGCATCCCTGAAGTCGGCCATCGCTCCTTCGGATTTACCTGTGTCCCCTGTCCCTCAGTTATATCCCAAATCATATCCTGTCTTGCCAAGTGCTCCCAGTGGCTCGGGAATGGATGTGTCCCACATTTGGCTCTCTCTTGTACTGTCCCTCAGGGCCGAGCATGTCATCTTATGCACATGTAAGAACTCAGCACGTTCTTGTCGAGTGACCAATGGCTTTGTTAATTCAATTACAACTGTGTACAGATGCTCCTCGGCTATGTCCCAATAAACCATCGTAAGCTGAAAATACAATAAGTCAACATGCATTTAATACACCTAACCTACCAAACATCACATCCTGGCTGAGCCCACCTTAAACATGCTCAGAATTTACATTGGCCTACAGTTGGGCACGATCGTCTAACACAATTAACCCACTGTATCATGTCGGTGGTTTACCCTCGTGATCGGGTGGCTGACTAGGAGCTGTGGCTCCCTGCCACTGCCCAGCATCACGGGAGTTTCCTGCTACATATCATTAGCCCAGGAAAAGACCAACATGCGAAGTACGGTTTCTACTGAATGCATATAGCTTTTATACCATTGTAAAGTCAAAACATCTTTAAGTCAAACCGTCGTAAGTCGGGGACCATCTGTATTGGTGCACAAGGGGAGGGCTATTAAAGAAGCAGTGGTGTTGGGTCCTGTCAACCTGGGAAGGCTTCCTGGAGAAGGTAGCCATTTGGAAAATGGGTAGAGCCAGGGTTGGCGGGGAGATACCCAGCCTGTGCGTCCCTTCAGAGGTACGGTTCAGGCAGATGGTTTCTGTCTAAAGTGGCAAAGAGGTTAACCAGTCGTATCAGGTAGTCAGGATTGAAGTGCCGGGTCGGTGAGCCACAGGCTGCGTAGAAGGAGAGGGGGCTCAGGAGGGTTCTCTGAGGTCACACTAGTCCAAGATGCTGCCCCCCTGTTTCTCCTCATGCTTGGATCAGATCCAGCCCTGGCAGGTGGAGCCAGGCGTGCCCTCGCTTTGGCCCCTGCCCCACTGCTCCAGGTTGTTTGCAGTAGCGAAGCCTGGAGCATTGACGTTGTTTCTCACAAACACTGAACATGGAGCTTCGGGCTTAGTGAAGGGGAGGGTACATCCGAGGAGTCCAGCTCTTCGTTAATTGCAAACCTTAAGCCACAAAGGACAATTACCTCACCGCCCCCAGCTTGTTCTGGAGGGAAGCCTAGGCAACGGCGAGCTGCTGTACCCCCTCCAGGCTGCAGGGTGAGCAGTAGGCAAACCAGATGCGCTAGGGCAGTGGGAGGCCTCTACTGTTCATCCGATCAGAAGCCCACTGGTGGGAAGGAATCTGGGAGTTCATCAAATCTACCCCATCCCCAGGCAGGGCTGCCCCGATGCCCCCATCCTGCCTGGCTTGGCTAAGGTCCCCTGATGGTCTCCCGGGCTTTCCCAGGGGCTTGCATTTTCTTCCCACCCAGAACTCCGATTGGCTGATATCACCCAGCTCTTCCCTCCCCCCTCGCCTGCCCCCAGTCTCATTATTTCTACATAAAGCTGTAGATTTATCATTATAATAGAGCCGCCGTCACCGGGTTTGCTAACATCTCTGTAATCTTGTAGTTATTGCTACTGAGGCTCAGACCTCACTGCACACTATTCCTGTCGCTATTCCAGTTCCTCGTGGTGGCAGGATGTGTGTGTGTGTGAGAGAACAGGCTGTAATTGGGGCTATAAATATGTGTTGTGCTTGGTGTTAATGGACTCGGCCACCACCTTTCCAGGTCCCGGCCAGGTCAGAGTGAGCACGTCCATGCATGCATGTGTGTACGCATGTGTGTACACAACATGTGTGTATTGTTTTGGGGTGATGGAGTGCTCTGTATATGTCCAGGGAGCCTGGTCTTAGGGTCGGCAGGGAGGCAGGGAGACCTTAGGTGACATTGGCTGCTCAAGTGTCTCCCAAAAGTCTCCAGCCAAGAATGAGCAGAGCTGTGTGCAAAGAGCTCAGGCTTTGGTGCTGAATAAGCCTGTGTTGCATTCTAGCTTCTGCACTTTCTAGCTTGCAGACTTTGGGGACATTATCTAAACCATGTCTCAGTTTCCACGCCAGCAAAATGGGGATGTAACAGTGGTATGTAGCTCATAGTGGTATTGTATGTAGCAAATGAAATAAAACACACAAACCGATGCCTAGGACAGACTGTCGCGGAGCAGCCTCCTGAGCCCCATTCTCACCGTGCCTCACCT